AAATTTTACAATAACTTGTAAAATCATTTTTACACTTGTTTATTGGCACAATGAACAAGTGTTTTGCAAACAAATTTGCAAAGCAGCTTTTAAAAGGGCAACAAGGAGGTCAGGCTCTTCTCCATGTTTATCATTTTATTTGTTTCTAATTACTTCCTAAAGTAGAAAGCCACAGGAAGACTAGATGAACTTACTGAAAGAGCTTCATCACAGGAATAAAAGCAGATGAAATTCTGTACAGTATATTATGGGCAATATTCTTAGACTAGTTAGGCAGCAAAACTGTGATTTCCCCCCTCTAAGGCCTATAACTAAAAAGAGTAAGAAACTACGAAACAGAAATCAGAAGCAAAAAAAGAAAAACTAAGCTTCAAACGAGACAAAAGAAATCTTCTTCAGGATCAAGGAAACTAAAGTGGTGGCAGTAGAAGCCAGAGCTGTAATCCACTCACATAAAAACAGTGAAAATCAGACAGAAGATGAAAATACTAGAGTTCAAGAGGCTACAGAGAACAGTAGCATCGCAAGGGCAACACATTGTTTAATCACCGTGAAATTCCAGATGACAGCACTCAAGGACAGAGAGGGAGGGAGGCATCAGTGTCTGAAAAAGAAAATGTGAAGAGCACAGGCAAAAACCCAATAAGTCAGGCGCTCTTAGTAGCAAGAAGCAGCGAAAGCTTGAGCAAAAATATAAAACCATAACCAAGAGATTCCAGGGTTTGCTGAAACAAAATTGCCATGACCAAGGTCTTAATGACCAATTCTTAATGGTGCATATTAATTATTAATATTATTCTACAAAGACTATTACAGCTGATAACTGCACTTATCCTGACAATTTCTAGGACATCTGTCTTGATATTTTAGCAAGGAGGACCAATACTTCTGCAAGAGTTACAAAATACTTCACCTCAAATACACAAATACTTCCCCCAGAAAGGATAACAAACTTTACTCAGCAGATATGGCTGTCCAGTTAGCAATAAAGGACAGCTCTGCTTACAGTAAGTTTTGTCCTTGGTACACAGATGCAACCTCTTACAGGATATTACAGTCAGGTTTTTTTGAGTTTAAACTTCTACTAAGAGCTTTCAAAAATTCAAATATAAAGAAAAGCATTGAGTTTAATGTAGCAGCATTGAGTGCTGGATGAACTAATAAAAACAATACAGCTGTCTCAGATTTTAATTGACAGTCTAGCAAAAGTAGGCTCAAGTTTTCCAACCATTCTGGCCATGAAAACACAAAATTTATGGTTTCCCTTACAGAAGAAAATAAAGTAAAAGTCGCTTTCTGAAAGCACCATTTAAAAATGTCTGAAGTGTGATTAGTATGACAAACAAATCTCCAACACTGACATAGTATTTTCTCCAGTATAAAATTGTGGACATCTCCAAGCTTCCCGGCTAGAGCTGAGTAACTGTTCAGCAGCTCAGCATACATGCAAGAGTAAGGTGAACAAGACATCTGAAAAAACCACAAATAAATAGCTAACTGGATCTCAAGAATCACAGAATGGTCAGGGTTGGAAGGGACCTCTGGAGATCACCTAGTCCAACCCCCTTGACAGACCCTGTAGGGTCACCTACAGCAGATTGCACAGGACGGCGTCCAGGCAGGTTTTTAATGTCGCAGAGTGGGAGACTCCACCACCTCTCTAGGCAGCCTGTGCCAGTGCTCTGCCACCCTCAAAGTACAGAAGTCCCTCCTCATGTTTAGATGGAACTTCCTATGTTCAAGTTTGTGCCTGTTACCTCTTGTTCTATCACTGGGCACCACTGAAAAAAGACTGTTCCCATCTACTTGGCACCCTCCCTTTAAGTATTTATAAGCATTGATAAGATCCCCAAATATCTTAAAATTACCAAAAAGCAACTCTTAACTCACAGGATGTTTGATCTTACTGAAGCTAACAAAATTATTATTTTACACTGCAGGTAGTCAGCTACTGCCTTGCCTGCAAGCATGCTTTCCCCTTTTTCAAAAAACAGAGAACTTCCTGATCTTTTGGAAAACAGGACTGTGACTATGCGGTTATACTTCTCGAAAGTAGCATACCAACAGTTTTTAACACACTAGGATTCATATTAGGGTATTTGTGCAGTGGCAGCGGTTATGATTGATGATATGCAAAGATCTGATCTGTTGCAAAGAGGATGTAACGCAAACCACAAAGGAACTACACACTTCAGCCTGTATTGGGCACCACATAATGAAGACCATACACTGGAGATCCTGAACATTTTCAGCCAATCTTTTTACTCTGGCAGATTTCGCAACTTTCCTTTGCAGAAATATTCTGCCCCTGAAAGATAACATATCTAGCAACAGCCTACAACAAAGTATCTACAAATCTCTGGTTGCACACCATGGCTGTCTTCCCCTGCCATCATTACCAATCTAAATACAGAGTTATTAAAGCTTTCTTGAATCTGCTCACTTCACTATTTATTCCACATGCTGTGAGCCTGAAAGATGTACAGCATTTTCAAAAGTGTAATGCTGAAACGCAGAGGATTATTATTATTATTACTTGAATTCACTGCTATTATTAGGTGCCTCTGGAAAAGATAAAATTGTTCACAGCACTTTCAGTTGGTCATGTTGAAATATATAGCAGAGTTAAAATGTGGTTTGGATTTTGCAAAGGTGGAGAAGAGCAGTTGCATTATAGTTGTTTTGTTTAATTGCTTATGTGATATTCAAAATATAAGAACTGGGGGCGGGGGAAGGGGGAGAGAAAAAGCTGATTTCTCAATATTGAAATTTAATGCATAGTCCATAATCATATTTCTAGGTACTTTAACTGGACTACAGTCATTTAGTATATTAGTATAGTATGTATGCCTATGTCCTCGCATACGGGCATTTTGATCTATTAATTTTCCTTTATGAATCAGGAACAATTCTAGCCTCTACTTAAAAACAAGTAAAGACTTAAAGCTCTCAGAATGTAATAACAGTGTCCTGCATTGAGATAAATGAGAGTTACTACAGACCGATAGAAAATATACCATTCTCTAAAGCAATGTCATCCAATGAAGCTTCTTTTCACTGCATCTTGATTGTAGTCATCAAACAAGTCTCAAGTAGAATCTACTACACATTGCAGAGCACATCAAGACATAAGAGGTCTGCTACACAATATCACATTTTTTTTAAAAAAAGTTCAAATAAGGACAAAAACTCTACTTGGTAGGGTAGTTGGCTTCATATAATATGGCCACTACTTACTGAAAATTCTGCATAAATCCATAGCCTGTTTCTTAATATAATTTCTAGCTAAGACAATATTCCATTTTCATATTTTGAAAAAGAATGATTAGTAAGCCTGTTGAGCCATGAGTTTGTACTTTTAGAATAGATAAAATAGTCTTAGTAGACTGATACATGAGCCTAGCTCCTCTCTTAAATACATGAGCAAACTGCCAGACCAAATTCTGGGAAAGACAACTTTCCTTCTAAGTGCCCAATGGAAGGTTTAAAGTACTTCTAATTATCAGAAGTTTAACTGTGTTGATTTTTGTTCATAAAGGAGAAGGGCTTCCAGTGCACTACAAAATGACAAGGAAAATGACTACAGAAGGAATAGAACATTCTTAATATTCAAAATGTCTTAGAGAGCTGTAGCATGTGTATGATGTAGTGTAAATGGATATTATCAAAGCAGTAAGTCTTAAATATTTTACATTTCTGTTCACACCAAGTACTTGCTGCTCCAGATTGCACATTTTCACAGACTGACAGGACAGCTGAGGTAGGACAGCACCTCTGGAGACTGCCTAGTCCAACCCCTCGGCTCAGAGCAGGGTCAACAACAGCAGATTGCCAAGGGTCATGTCCGATTGGGTTTTGAGTATTTCCAAGGATGGAGGTACATGAGCTACACAAGCTCTGTGTGCAACCATTTCCACCGTTTGGCCACCCTTGCAAAGAAGTTCTTTTATTACACTTAAATGGAATTTTCTGTATTTAAATTTGTGACCGTTTCCTTTCAGTGACCACCACTGACAGGAGCCTGGCTCCATCTTCTTCATTCCCCCCATCAGGTATTTATACATGTTGATAAGACTTGACCTGAGCCTTCTCTTCTTGAGAAGCCCAAGCTCTCTTGGCCTCTCCTTGTACAACAGATGCTCCAGTCCCTCAGTCGTCTTTGTGGTCTTTTGCTGGTCCATGCCTTTCTGGTACTAGGGACCAGAACTGGGCACAGTACTCCAGATGTGGTTTCACTAGTGCTGCCCTAAGTCTGAAACTGCCAAGCTTTAAATTTACTTTATCTGAAATTCTTCATCTTCTCTCATATTTCAGTTGTTAGAGACAAAAACCAACACTATTTTACAATTTCTCATATGCAGACTATCAGCAAGTAGTGTTTAGAAAACTGTATTTTATGTTCTAAAAACATACAAAAGCAAATTTTATTATAAGTCTTTGCACCAAAAACCAGACTAATTGAAGAGTGGACAAATGAGCCAGTTACCTACAGATCCTCCAAGCGTAAGGAGGATTTAACCACACCACTAAATCAGAAAAACCAAAGTCACATTTGTCTAAGCTGGTCAATTAGACCAGTTAATGTTTAGAGATACCTCATAAAAGAACAGACTTACTTCTTTTATTGGAGCTTAATAAAGAATTCTTCCCAAAAGAGAAAAAAAGAAACAACACAAAGCAAATATAAATCATAAGTTAGTCTAAAAATGGTCATGTGATTGTCTTAGTTACAATATTTTATTAGAAATATTGAGGGGTGATTTGTGACTTTTTGCTTTGGGGACTTGTTTTCAAATTATAATATCAAGGAAGGCTGTAAGCTTCTTTTAAAAATTACATACTGATACAGTTGCATGTTCTTTGAGTTGAAGCTTTAAGAAAAAACAACAAACAGGTATCTCAGAACTCACAGAATTAGAGACACTGGAAAACTTAACGTGATATAGAACACTGTTACTGAAAGAAAGGCCAAGATGCAGCAACAATAGTTTTTAACTTACATTTGAGTGTTTCTCCAGCATAAGGGATATGTAGCTTAAACCGATCACAGCTAGGTCCAGGGGTCAAGGATGTACACCTAAAAATGAAGATAAGAGAAGAATGTGCTAAGTAGTTACAGATGGTAGCAGATGCTAACATTACTCTACAGGGTACAAATGACTGACATAGTAAAGATGTGAATACTAGAAATACTTATCCTTACGATTCTGAGAAAGAAGAAAAGGCAGGAAAGATGCAGGAGGCCCATTCTCTTTTGATCAGCAGTTCTCATGACAGCATGAGAAACTTAAGGATCTGTGCCAACTTACTTTCCCACTTTAACACAGAAAACAGACACACAAAATGCCTTGGTTTCACAGTGTTATTAGAATAATACCAATTAGTCAAAGCCATCAAATTCTCTACTTTGTATACAATTTTGCAGGTGACAACTCTTTACCTATGCCACAGCAACAGGGTTACATGCTGCCTGTCTCTCCCATGAAGATACCTGGGATGAATCTCAGTGCATAAACATTCAGCCATTTTTACCTGTTTTCACCTTAAATTTTCCCTTGTGGAAAAGACTCACAGTAAGCCTCCAGGTGAGCAAGTTTTAGAATCAGGTATTTGAGGCTATGACGACTCAGCATAACCTGTGACTATTTCATATCTCCTGCTTATCTGTAACAATGCAACAGCAGTTGGGTCTCATGGTGATGAGTGAGCATTTTATGAACACAAAAGTTACTGAAACACTGTTTAGTGTCTACACCAGAGATGACCGAATTTTTCACACATTTTATGTCATGTACCAAAGTCTCTGCATAATACCACATAAAACCACAGAACTACAGATCAATTAACTTAAATGAAGTTTCTACAAAAATACTAGAAAACATAAGCAAACCTCATGTGCACCTAGAATCTAACACAGATGCAATTAACAACCTACATTGATTCAAGAATACACTACATTTTTTCAGTATTGTTACAGAAATTAGATAACTGTCCTTGCAAATAAAAGGGAAGCAACACACATCCTGTCTTCGCTTTAGAAAAGTTTTTGCAATGTCTTGTGAGAGCATCATGCAAAACAATCTACAGAGACATAATTTAGATACAACTACTATCAGATGTGTGCAGAGCTGACTGGAAAGCAAGTTTCAAAAAAGATTATTTCACATCTTGCTTCATCCAGGAAGAACGCACTGACTGGCTTTTCTTCTGGTAGAATACTACTTTGCATTTCATTGAAAGATTGATGATGGAAAAGAGATTATGTTTATTAAATCTGCCAATGATGCCGACATGAAAGGGAACGCAGAATGCTGGACGACAGGACCAGAGCTGAAAAACATTTTGATTTCATGGTCTGTACTACCATTTCTTTAACTACATATAGGTAGGGCTTAGCAAGAACCATAAGCATCACCACTCACGCTGGGAATAAAATCAGTTTGAGAATATGAAAGATTGGAGCTCGAGTGCAACAGAAACAAGAGAATATAATTTTTTCAAAGACGCGGTTTTTTTTTAGTAGGTGAGAACAGCAAAATCGGAGTGCCCATTGTTAGAGTGTTTTAATGGATGTGGATGAATTTAACAACTACAGATATGTAATTATTATTATCTACTTTCAAGTAATTTCTAAGGCTTACATTACTGAGAAGGCCAATTCTTTGAAGCATACAAAATAAAAAGCAACTCAAAAAATCCTTTGCAAGTTCCAAAATATCTCTGCAACATCAGTTAATATTTAATGGAAGTTTCTTTCAAAGTCTCACAGGTCACAGTCTGAGGCACATTTCTCAAATACCATCAAAATAACATTGTTGTTAGTTTTTCAACAGACACAAAAATTTCTGATCCTGCTAATGCCCTATAATCTTTTCTTTTAGCACGGTGGGCCATTCAGAAATACTTAAGGAAAATATAATACTCTTTAACATTAAAATAAAAGCCTGATTTAATGGTAAATGTCCCTAAAAGCAATACTAAGTATTTTTCCTAGATTATTATACTCCACTAGAGATGTTTTTAATTTTACTGGTCTAGAAGTGATGGAAAGTGACAGTATTCACAATCTCTTTTTTTTTTTTTTTGCCAAATTACTCTGGCTCGGCTGTGCAAGTGACTTCAATAACTGCAACAGGCTGAGCAACGAAGCAAAAATCTTACGTACGTCCATTTGAAAGGCGGAAGTTACTTTTTAGTATGAACAGTAAAAGAAGAAAACTTCTAAGGCAAATAAAAACTTTGGTACATCTAGCAGTCTATGTGTAACTTTATTTCCACAGAAATACACAGATAATGCCTTGGCTATGGACATCTTCTCCTGCTTGAATTTCCTTAACACACAGAACCTCTCATAATTACAAATGCAGCCAACCCAGAAGCTTGGCCTCTATCTTCTCCAAAACATAAGATTTTAAATTTGCTGATTCTTTTACTTAACGTGGTGCACACAAAAGTCACACTGAAAACTCACACTGACAAGGAATGACTTGTAACAAGGTCTTTTAAAGATTATTTGTTGTCCTGTCTTCACAGGGAATTGACAGAATAGTAATACCTGGTGTTGAAAATTAATTTCAGAAGCTGACTCCATCTCATGATGGATGGATCTGCTATATCCCTCTTTATTCATGGAAAGATATTACACTGGCTTGCATATCTTCATCTAAATAGTCAATATTTTACATAGGAAAGCCATGGAAGCAAGAATTAATGCTCTGATGCTCAGAGCAGTGACGTGAATTAGTCTTCATAAGATGATTAATGCTATACCACAAGATCACCCACATTGGTTTCCCTACTCAAATATCAAAGAATCATCAACCTGACAAGTTTCTGGGACAAAGGAATATCCTTGAATGTATCGCTTAAAATCATACTGCCTTATTCAAAGGACCTGTGCTGAGATCTACAGTTGGAATCTGGTAGAGAGAATCGAGGATGCGAGAAACCATTGCTAAATACAAACTCTTCTCTTTCTCAGCAGATTTTAGCTAAGTTCCTTAAGCAAATACAGCAGATTGAACTTGATTTGAGACACATTACATCCTTATGAAATATGTAATCCAAGTAGAGTAGAACATTCCTTTGTTGAGTGTTTGATGCATCTTACGCTCGGGATTTTCTGTGACCTGTTGAGAAAAGGTTCCTTTCACAGTAAATAAAACACACATAAACTAACCCAGTTCTTATAAAAAAAAAAAAAAAAGTCATTGTCAGCACCAGATGCTTACTTAGAAGGGTTCAGAATTCTTTACCAGCCACAAAAGGAAACAGGAAAGATTATCCAAGAGAAAAAAGAGAAAAGGAAAAAAAATAAAAATCAGGAAAGTCACTCAGTTTTGCTGCTTGGAATAAGGCATCAGCCTATAATGACAGGTATAGTAGAAGGTATTTTTCTGCAAAATTAATCGTTCCCAGAGTATTCGAAAAGCCTCTAGAAAGGCAGTTCTAGCTGAGCTTAACATCAAGGTTTTTCCTTATACCAATGCATTTGTAATTGACTATTCTGTTGAATTGACTCTTCTTCTGTTTTGTTTAAGCTAAAAAAATAAATACTCTCTTTCCTTCTGAGCCACTTTGGTATTTTCCAGCCCTAGATTTCAACACAGTCTTCCTATCAACTAGTCTTCTACAACCATCACTTGAAAGTATTTCCAAGACAAGCAGTTTTAAATTATTTGGGCTCTGGTAAGATCTTATCCAAAAATAAGTTCTGTGCCAGCTGAAAGAGTCACAATGAAACACGAGCCCAAGTGTTTACCACCTTAATCCTTCAAGTCTGGAGATGAGTGGCTATTCTATGCAAAGAACTTAAAAAAAAAAAAAAAAACAACAACAAAACCAAAACCAGCAACACCCCCCTCAGACCCACCTCTTTAAATCCCAAAATTCCAGTCTGAGCCTTATTTTTTATACCACTCCTAAAAATCTACTGCTTAGAACCTTATAAACCCACAGCAAACATTCAGAAATGCCCACAGAAATACAATAACTCTACTGAAAAATATACAATGTCCTTTTTATTTCTTCTTTTTTAATTTGTGGTAAAGGCATATGCCCCAATATTCATGTCAGATTTATTTGATGACTATCAAATTCCTGATTTAAAAAGGTATGCAATGTGTTCCTAGACCATACAGAAGCTTTACCACCTTTACTATCTGAAGACAAATTATCAGTGAATTTTACTGTATAGTAGCAAAGAAAAATTCACCTAAGAATTTTAGCCACTGTAATTTCAGGAACTTGAAACAATTAAGATTGCCTAACCTGAATAACCAGAGATGCAAAAGCTTCTTTATTTCATGAAGCTTAGGCTGTTACACTTGCTGTTCTTGAGGATGAGTACTTTTTGGATAACAGACAACTTTTTTTGTTCACCAGGCTGTTGATGTAAAAGCCAAGGTGGCTTCACACAGCATTATGCTGATGGCAAGTGCTGCTAAAAACCAACACACAAAAATAAAAAGAGCAACACCACAAAGCAAGTTATGACCATTGGCTGTATTCCCAACCCTTTCCGGCTCTAAAATACCTAGTATATGTCGCTAATCGCTCCTATTTATGTCATATAAAGATGCTGTTAGGGAAAAAGGAGATCAAGTTCCAGAGGCTAAAGAAGAACATTAGTATTATTTTAATGACAAGACAGAATGCAGTCAGAGGTTGAGAGGCTGAAGGTTTTGTCAGCAAGAGTCAAATATAATGCGGGGCAAAGACAGGTAAATCCTTTGTTACTAATAAGAAGCAGCAAACTCAAAACTCCACCCAAAACTCTTACTGTGACATTTGCTAAGAAAAACATGTTAATGTTAAACTCAAGTAGAACAGCCTTCATCGATGCTTTTCGATTCTTCTTTCTTCCCATTTTTTGTAGATGGAAATCTGCTCCAGTGTTCCTTGAAGACACAGTATTTCATCCCATTTAATTAAGAATTAATTGCAGATTCACAACAGATGGGTAAGTCATCTACAGAGGCATTAAGAGTAATTAATGGGGGGAGGAGAGTGGAAGGAAAGCCAGCAGGTAACAGGGCTTGCAAGGATCAGGGAACAGAAAAATAGTGAAAATCTCAT